TGCTGCCGAACGCGTGAGCAGCGATCGTGTTGCTGAAGAGCTTGTGGTAGATGAAGCCGGCTCGCTTCAGCATCTGCCACATCTGGAGCCGCGCCGCCGGTGTGAGTCCCCTCGGGTGAGGCAGTCACCATGTTCAAGGAACGAGGGGGCGGGGGGGCGTCAGGCCGCACCACCGCGCCCATACCATTGAGCAACATGGCAACACGGTAAACCTATACTTCTTTCATTGTTGAGTTATAATCTACCATGATTGTCATGGTGTGACATGGTTTATCATATCATGGATTGGTGCCTTTAATGAGCTGCTGCATATCGCGAAAGGTGCCCCCTCCCGCACAAAACGATCAGGCTGCCCGAGTAGCCGTGTAAAGAACAACCAATCATAGACGCGATGCAAAAAGCAGAAACCGATCCCTCACCTTATGAACCTCGCTCATAGAAATGCTATTCCTGTGGAAGAAGACGATAAGTTCGGACTTTTCACATGTTTCCCGAACCATCTTCCCAAGGATAACCTCTAGAGGATTCTCCTGTGGAACAGATGACGAGCTTAGGCGACGAAGAGGACATTTATTGCGTAAATCTGCCATACGATTTTTCCCACTTATAGCAAAACAGCCAATGCCAATTTGTCTGTCCTGATGGCTCAGTTGGTTAAAACACCCGGCTTTCAATCGATCCCAATGCGGCGGGGTGGGTTCAAGTCGCTTTATGCACTCGGTAGTTGCCCCTGATAGATATGGCTTGCGGCCGGGGGCAGCTGTCGCACGAGAGACGAGGTGACGTCAGAGGACAGGACGGACCGCGCCGAACATTGAGGCGTGTTAAACCTTCGCCGTCAGTCTGCCGTTGACCTGGAATGGCGCGACCGGATTGAAGATCAGGGCTCACACAACAGCACTGCTTAACGTGAGCTCTGATCCCAGAAATCCATTCATTCAAAAGGTTTGAATTAAATCTTAAAATAGTACAATACAAGCGCTTTTGCACTAAAGCGTCAATGTGTTTTAGCTTCGATGTAACTGGATCACAGAGGACCGGCGATATCGCTATGGGCGGTCACGAAGTTGATACGGTCAAACTAAAAAATGTTAGCTTTACGAAATCAGCTGCATACACAGATGTGGTTAATGCAAGGAGAAAGACGCCCGTGGAGCGCCCCTTTGTTCCACATTTCTGTCGTCTAAAGCAAAAAGGAGTAAGTGTTATTTGCGTTATGCGTAAGTTTTTATGCTATGTAAGTGTATGTGTTGTTAGTGTTATGTTTAAGTGCTCGTGTTGTGTGTTATGTTAACTATTGGCTCTTAGGCCTTTTTGCCTTTGGACGGCAGATTTGTATGTTCACGAGCTTTGTATAGAAGGTCGAGTTTCGTCAAAACATGGTACAACGCGCAGGCGCTCTGACGGCTTTTACCGCTCTTTCACGAACGTGTGTGCGAATACGGACCAGTCCGATGTCTTCAGGTTGACTTGTCCGTATATTTGTGCTAAGAAGATGACCATTGGCAGCTTAATTCACCTACGCTTCATATTGTTTCTAAGCTTTCACACCCAAGCGCTGTGTATCAAGGCTCCCTAATAGAAGCCCGTTCATGTGCGCTGCAAATGTGACATCATGACTCGAACCGGCCATTCCTGGTGGAAGTCGCTTCAAGGCGGCGAAACGACGAAAAAGCTCGCACAACGCCGATTTATGTCAGATGCAATCATTTTCATGGGTATGCACACTGCATCAGGTTATACTAAAACTCTGCTACTTACATCATCCTCCATGCCAATTATGCAGCGTAACACTAACTCGTACCATAATACACTGAATAGAAGCGGAGAACCCAGCCGAAATTATGTTATTCTTATCTCAATTGTCTCATTGTGCATCACATTAATGTTATTTTACCGCAGCGACTGGTGCCTTTTACGCAGCCCCTCCGGAATTCAGACGTTGTGAATCATGATCAAATGTACGCCAGCTCAGCTGGGAAGGTGTTTACACCTGACCTGTGAGCTTCAGCTTCACGAAAGTACGACCATCGAGGTACAACCTCGTACTCAAAGTGTCTGTTCGGTGATGATGAGAAGAATCGGTGCTCCGTCACGTGTTCTTTTCACGGTATGCACCACGTATTTTGTCTGCGCTCTGGTAACAGTTCCTAAATGTGTGGTATGTGAGTAGTCTAAATTTCCGGTAAGATCAGGCCATCATGGCCCAGGAACGCAGCGGGGCGCGGTGGACGCGACTGACCTCTCTCTCGGGGCGCCGCTCGACGGCATGGTAGCAGCCGGCGTCCTCGCTGAGCAGGTCTGCCGTCTGGGGCAGCTGCGGCACCGTCAGCCTCTGGAAGCGCGCCTTCTCCCAGTGCGGCAGCTTGGGCCTCTGGATGTTGATGCGCGCCTTGTGCCGCACGCAGGTCAGCAGCGGACCACGGGTTACCAGCCCTGCAAAGCAGTGATTTCTTAAGGTCAGCATATAATATATCATAAGTTATAAGTATTTTGGTGCAAACTTGTCAGGATGCTGGGTATGACAAAATAGTAGTTTGAGAATGGTGGGCTGGATATGCATTTGCACATTACCTTGGTGGTCCTTCACAATCCCTATCCTGAATATTTGATATGGAACCATGTCTGCCAAGCATGATTACACAGACAATTGATGAAATGAAACTCAAGCCTTTATGGGTCTAATACATACTTCACTCAGGAACACGTAAGGCTAAAATCAGACTTAGATGTTTGATCAATGGGAACATGTTAGCTCAGATTTGGCTCCATGTAGGATGACCTCAGATTTGGCCAAAACCCACAGCTATCTGAGACACGGATGGCTTAAAAATGTCAAATCAGACTGAGACATGTGATCAATGGAAATATATGAGATCAGATGTGGCCCCATGTAGGATGGCCTCACATTTGGACAATGATAGAATTCAGACTCTGTTTCAAAACAGCAATATTCAGACTAAGGAGGGGCTTTAGGACTTACCCATGCCTGCTAGGTTATGATCCATTGAAAAACTGGTTTATTTCTAGTACATCTTTGCATGTTTCTGTGTCCTGAATCCATCAACTCCATGGAATCCACATTTATGGAAATGTGTAGCCTATTGATAAGGTTATTCATTGTACTCAATCCTGTCAAATCAACTCAGTTCAGGGACAAACTAACCAAAACTGCTCAATGGTGTTTTGATTCAGCATCATAACACCAGCACTAAGAGAGCAGCAGGGCTGCATTAAGATGTGTATGCACCACATTTTGTACTAGCAATTCACTTGTACTTCAGCTTCCATTACAGCTTATGGAGTGGCAGGGAGCCTATTACAGCCTATAAACCATATGTTGCATAGACTTTTACATGTTTATAGTATCTGAAAACCAGGCTGCCAGCTATTTCCTTTTACCAACCCTTGTTGTAATGGTACCATCACACAGACATTTTCACCTGCTTACCTTCTGGTCACCATCAAAATGTAGATCATAGTTTGTGAAAGCTTTACATAACTGATTGGCCATATGCAGACCCTGGCGAGAACCTTGATAAGCTGCTTGTGGCAAAACATGAACCACTTAGAACACCTTCTGGTAGCCAAAGAACACAAAGACTCTCCTAATTTTGGATACTGGCAGCATGAGCTATACCTGACTTGTCATGTTTTGGAAACTGGCTGATTAGTGCATAATAGGTGTAAAAAGCCCACAAGAGACTGCTTACCATTTAAATAATGCTATCTGGTATACGCTGGTACACGTATTACACCTTCAGACACAGTCATGCATTAAGGACACATTTGTGTACATTCTAATAATAAGCACATAAATACAAGATGACAACATTGTTTCAGAAAATTATAAGCAAGTTCCTGGTTGAATTGCAATAGTTCTCCTTGACCTTTGTGTGGACATCACCAGTCAGCACAAAATATGTGCATCTGGTCATCGTCTCCCAACATGAGGTCAGTATATTTTGTCTAACGAGTCTTACCTCGCAGCGTAGTGACAGAAGGGACAGACATCTTCTGGAAAAACACGGAAGAACACGACACAACAAGTGTCTACAGGTACATCTTTATGACCTATCAAAGACCATGCAATCGTCCCATTCACTTAAACGATCCACCCATCGAAATCCAAACCATTTACGCCTCTCGCATGTCCAGAGCCGCCGGCCATGACCCTAGTACAACTTTAATGTCACGACTGCGCATTTTTTGTCTCACTAAAAATCTTATAGCGCTGCCTATTACTAATAAATTTTGTTCAGCTGGCTGACTTTAGAAATATCGCCATCGTTTCATGTAAAACAAGCGTGTGTTGGGGTGTTTAAAATATTAATTCCTTAAGTATTTTCACGTGCATACAACAGCAACCGCGGGCCTAGCCTAGCTTTACCTCCGATTGCAGGCTAAGGGACAATGCACTATTTTGAAGGGTTTCCTTCCCTAAAGCCCTATGGATGCAACATAAAAATTCCAAAATTTGGGAAATTTTGTTGCTGTGTCTTTATTCAGATCATCACACCCAGTTTAGGGATTGGCACGATGACCTTGCGTCTCGCCATGATCTTCAGATCCAAGTGCCCAGTGGTCATGAAACGCTTTGCATCCGTTAAACCCACTGAAGAGGTGGTGAATCTTATCTGCTGAGTAAAAGGAAAAATTAAGGTGAATGGACTAATCTGTTAGCAACAGGTTGAAAGTGTAGTTTGGCAAGCTTTTCTCCATTTTTTGGCTTTTGATTAAACCAGTCATGGAAATCACTGTTAAGATATTAACGTAATATGCTTATTCACATTCTGTGCGATATACTCAGATAATGGGATTATCAGTATTTGTCGTTGTCAGCAGATTAGGCTAAAAAGCAGCAAATTTTCAGGTTTGTTTAAACTCAATGTGCCGCAGGAGAGACACTATGTCATAACGTAAGCCGGCTCAAGGCTAGCCGGATACGCGCTGATACCGTCGTTGCTTTTAGCAATGCGAGGGCGGCTGACTGAGGCCATAGAACGGAACAGAGCCGACTCCCGACAGCGAAAAATACATGTTGCGCCGAAGACCAAAGTTTTATTGTTATTTCAGGTTCTGATTGGCACGGACGCACCTGCTGGGCATGTTGCATGCCTCTAAAATTGTCTGAAGATGGATTTGGCTTTCTTGAAGCAAAGTCTCCAGATCCGTGCTGGTTTTGTTGTGCTTCAGGTGGGTTATCAGGCATGATTGTGGCCTGTTGAATTGCTTTCCTAGATGCATGTGAGTATTTCAGTGCTTTGTTTGCGACATGACAGAACCCAAAGTTCCAAATGTGTGATGATTTTTCCAAGACAGCAGTTAGAGTACTGGAGTGATTTGAGGTTTGTGACTGCTATGATGCACTCAGTAGCAAAGACTACATGAGTGTCAATGGGGGAGGTCAGCTCTATGGTAATGTTGTCAGCTAAAGGTAATGTTTTTTGTCCAGGAGCTTGGGATGAATGACATGAATACAACTTTGACAAAAGGGGTGGAGTGACCACTTGCTTCCACCATTATCACAAACCCACCAATGAATGACCTCACCCACCCACATACCCATCCGTCATGAGTAGTTCAGTAGTGATGTCAAGCAGGTTTTTATACTCATTCCACAATAAGTAGGCATGCAAACCATTAGATGCTTTTGGCTGTTTGTCACAAACTGCTTGTTGGTGAGTGATGTAGAGCTGATTTCACCTTCATTGTATGTGTGATGCACTATCACAGAATATTTCCTGCACTTTTTTCTATTTCCTGTGCCCTCAGTGTGCGTGCAACCACCTGCTGCCGGACCATGAGTCAGACGCCTTTGTGGCGCCGGTGGCACCTGTAGGGGAGCGGAAGCCCCTGGATGGAACCATCACCACTCTATTTGGTGGTCTGCACCGCTGGGATGCTCAGTACTTCCTGCACGTGGCTCAGCATGGCTACACCCACGAGAACACGCTGGCCTTCTTGCCGGGTCTCCCGCTGCTGGCCAGCGGCGGTGCTGCGCCTCTGGTCGCCAGCGGCCTGCTCTCGCCGCCGGCTGCGCTGCTGGCCGCCGCCGTGCTGCTCAACACGCTGCTGGCCGCGCTTGCCGCGCAGGCGCTGCTGGCGCTGTCGGCGCGCGTGCTGCGCGACCGGGCGCAGGCGCGGACGGCGGCGCTGCTGTTCTGCTGGTCGCCGGCGTCCGTGTTCCTGGCGGCGCCGTACTCGGAGGCCCTGTTCGCGTGCCTCAGCTTCACCGGCATGCTCCTGTGCGAGACGGACCGGCTGTGGGGCGCCGCCGCCGCCTTCGGATTCGCCGCCGTTACCAGGTACCGGCCAGATCCCCAGCCATGTGCTCGAGGACGCGGCCAATCTATCATGCTGGATGCAGTCTGACTTTATAATGGGGAAGCTGGTACCGAGAGGTGAATCGCGGGTGCAGTTCGCACGTGGCCGTCGCCGGTACTAGGTACGGGCCGAATGCATCAGGTACGGACTGCCGGTACCGTGTTAATGCCACAGCCACCTGTTACAAGCCTCCATGGCATGTACTCTATAATCTGGCAGTGCCGACGACGTTAATGTGTGCACTGCACCAGCCAGTGACCTGCTGGTGCCGGCCGCCCTGTAAAACTGCATCCGCTGTCATTGGGTGCTTATGTCCTGTAGTAAATGGATAGTTTTTGGAGATCTCGCTAGGTAGCGGCTGGTGTGTGCGTTGGCCATACATTGAACAACGATATTTGCATGCTTAATTAGTTAATGTATGGCTTATGGATTTGGGTGATCTGTTGTGCTTTTCCCCTCGCTGTGATAAACGTGTCTGATGAGCGAGTCACGTGGACAACCTCGAAATCTGGAGCTGTGAACTCAATGCCTTGCATTGCCTTACATTGCAGATCCAATGGAACGCTGCTGGTGGGATTTTTGGTCTACAGTCTATTGAGTAAGCAGACTACGATGATGTTCCCAAGCACCACCAAAGAAAATGTCGCCAAGGTCCCTCTCCCAGTGGTAAGGATACCGGTGATGCTCACGCCTGGGTGGTTGCGAGGAATGTCTGTAATTTTTCGGCCCTCCTACACAGGATTGTTTTGTTGACGGATGACTAGAGTGTTTATCAATTTGACGAAGTGTTGCCAAACTGCTGGCATTGTGTGATACACAGTAAAACACTGTTAAGTGTTCGAGTGCTATTCTCACAACACGGCGGATGAGAATCCCATGGGAGGGGGGGGGGGGGGGGCGGCGGCTGGGTTGGAACGCCGATTGCGCCTTGACGCCAGTGCGCTGGTTTAGCCAGTGCAGCCGCTGGCGCCCCATAAAGGGTGTGTGACCACGTACGTCGTGTCCCTTGAAACAGAACCCTTTAACCTCGGAGGGGCTACCCAAACCGGGCCTTGTATCCCTCCGTGCGTGACGCGAGAGGCCCGGGCTGTTACTTTTCATTGTTACCTTCCACACTATATTCCTCTCACTCATATCGCTATGAGTTTATGAGTTCAAAGCTCCGGTGCTGAGTTCACGACCTTCGGTGTACCAGGAGGTACTGGTTAGATAATGCAATAGTGCTAAACACGGTTATATTGCCGGTACTCAGTATTTTTGTCTGGGGTCATCATAAAGAGTAATTGATGTACATGACATGACCTGCGAGATCTCCCAGGCACCGCTAGGGTCCTGTTTGCGCCGTTGCTAAGTCTCAATAGACACACCTGTCTGGCCTAGATTTCCCCAGATGACCTACTTTGCCCGTGGCCGAGTGGCATGCTAACTTTGGATTTTGAGGATGTGGCCGTGGGTCCGCCGGTCGTGGCCTGCGGGCTCGCCGCCATGCTGCATTCTTGTGTTCACTGTCGAGGGTGGCTATATAAGGGCTCCCTTCGAACGCTCCACGTCGCCGTGCTGCTCGATGCACAGTCAGCACTATGAGCTGTGGAGCGCCCGTGCGGCATTTGCTGCGCGAAGCGTCGCTGCCCGTCCCGTGATTGGCCTCTGACCGGACGGCTCCGCCTCAGACGCTGCTGTACGCTCTGTGGCGGCTCGGCCAGGCGGCCGCCCTCTCGCTGCTGACGCTGGCCGCCTTCGCCGTGTACCAGCTGTACGCGTTTGTGCTCTTCTGCACGCCGGGCGCGCCGCCGGTGGCACCGCACGTACAGCGCTTCGTCCGCGAGCGCCGCCTGGTGGCGCCCGGCGATATGAGCTCGCCGTGGTGCAACCGCACGCTGCCCATGTCGTACGGCTACGTCCAGGTGGGTGCGCCGCCTGGTGGCGCCCGGCGACATGAGCTCGCCGTGGTGCAGCCGCACGCTGCCCATGTCATACGGCTATGTCCAGGTGGGTGGCGGACGGCAGGCTCCCGACGGTCGCCCTGCAGGGACGGGCACATTTGACCTGCGCTCTTGATATGTAACCTTGCAGACTGGTATTTAGTGCGTAGCATCCTGCACGAAAATATTTAGATTTTTGACCGGTGGTGCTGACCGACATGTTGACCTCCAAGCAGTATTTCCAAGCAGTTCTTTTTCAATTTACAGCGAATGCATTGCTATCTGTTTTTCAGGATCACTATTGGGACGTTGGATTCCTTCGGTACTACACTCTGCGCCAGCTGCCCAACTTCCTGCTGGCCGCGCCAACTGTGGTGCTGATAATGCACGGTGCTGTCACCTACCTAAGGCGGTGGACACTGTCAGTACTCGGTCGTGCCAAAGGTGGCGCTGTCGTCAACCCGCTGCTGCTTCCGTACGTGCTGCACGCGGTGGCACTCGCCGGCTTCATGGTCACGTGCGCTCACGTGCAGGTCAGTGGTTCGGTTTGTCCACAGTTGTTTTCCGTCTGCTTGGAACTTACGGAAGACTGTGCCGCGCGAATAGAATACCGGCATTTTCATTCATGATTGTTTTATAGTTAACACCACATTTTATAGTTAACAATCATGCGATCCTAAAAGCCTCACTGATCGGCCCATGTGGGAATTTGGAGATGTCATGCATATCCATTCTTATTTAGAGTTTGCATGATACCTTATGTGCCACATTTCAAACAGCTCAACTGTTCTGCTTCAGCGACCTTGCTCCGTGGCAGGGTAAGATGGTAGCACGCGCATTAATTGCCATACCAGACCAGTGTTCCAATATTCGGCTGCTTGGGTGGCAGGGATGCCGATATTTTTCATTCTGTAACACCTTGGCTTTGGGCCCACGGCCTGTGATCCCTTCCTTGCTCAGAATTGGCGAACCAGCATGGAACTGGGCGGCCATCAAACCAGCATCTATGCGCCTCAGGCGTGACAAATGGGCTGAGTAGGTCAGATGTCTTTTTCGGGGTCAAAGGGCAACGGATTAGCGCCAACGGATTGCGTGCAGGGACCGCCGGAGGGCCAAGATTCTGGTAGCATGAGTTTATATTTACATCATGTACATCCTACGGGATGAATTTTGGGAGCGCTTTACCAGACCTCCGCCTTTATGGGTTTTACGCGCCGATAACCGGTGTGATCTGGCACAATCCAGTATGGCGTGAACCGTGTGGGCACCGCGCATACCAGCCGCCTTCCTCTGGTGCCCAGCAACAACCACCCTGGCATGTGTTTGCCTGACTTAAGTTTTCAGCGATCGTGTCGCCCGTTGCGGTAAGGGCTTAAATTCACGCGCGGATGACAGCGAATCCTTGTCGTTCTTCCCGTGTGATCCATCCACATCCACTGTCGGCACTCAGGAGCCGTGCACCGCCCGTGGATCGTGGCCAACGCCACTCTGTACTGGCGCGGCTCGTTGCCAGGGGTGTCGCATCGGTTTGCGGGGAATCGGCAGCAATCGTTTCCTCCGAAGTGCGGTTCGTCACGGCTCTGTGGGTCGCTGTGGGCTGCGCCGCGGCAAATGTCAGCCGCCCGTCACTGGTGACCCGGCGCGGCGTCAGGCCAGGCGGAGGGGCGGCCGCTGACGGCGGGGGGGGGGGGAGGGGGGGGGGGGGCTCCGAGCGGCCGCCATAGCGAGCCCGCGCGGCCGGCCGCTGGCCCCGCGCGGATGCGCCGAGCGGCATTTGCGAACGCTGCATGGGGCAGCAAGTGCGGTATGGTTGTCAAATGACGCGCCGTAGACGCGCGATTTTGAGCCCACCGGCTTCGTAGAGAAAAACCATGGTGGACGCGCTGTTTCGTTAGTTGCTGAATAAGGTTTCCTGTTGCTAAAAGGGCGCTTTCTGTTCTGACTTCGAAGCTTCGACGCTGAATCAGTGTCGAAGTTTTTAGCGAGCGTACGATTGCAGACCGAACTGGATTTATTTTAATTCTGCAGTTTCCTTTTTCCCGCGCTCGGCTTTTGTGAGTGTCACAACGTCCCCTGTAAACTCATCGGCAACTGCAGAAGCTAAAATATCTCCGCGAGATGAAAGTGGCCTATTTTCTTTGCGTTTTGGTTAATAAATGTATGTAAACCAGCTCACTACAATCACGATAAAATGGCAGTCAGCATTCAACTGGCTTTCTGCTTTTAGACAGATCCTCGCACTATACCGTCGGACATGAGTCTGCTTTGCGACCTTTGCCGTCCAACGTATCCTCGCCAAGTGTAGCTTATTGCGTGAACTTCGACTCCACTATCTGAGTTATCCGAACCATGAGTGTTGCACAAAGAGGCAACAATGGATCTGTCTGGCATACGCATCGGTATTATCGGTGTGATAAAGTCATCATGGTCTTGCAGTAATCGTTTGGAAACGAAGGAACTGCTAACACTTGCCTAAGAGATTGTTGGAAATATCATTCAAAAACGACATAAAGCAACCTGTCCTCGAACGTTGAGCAACGGACTCGGCTCTTGCATCCCACTCTGACGGCTCGGTACTGGAGTGTCCGTGGGTGGTGGAGTCCGCAGCAGTGTAATGTAGTTGGAGATGCTGCCCGTCGGAGATCGTGTTTCACGAAGTCGAACAGCAGTGCGTGGCTGCGAGTCCTAGAGTAGACACGTACCTGGTTCCCGAGATTTGATCTCGGAAACCTGCTGGCTGTTATCGTTTCCGATAATGGGAGAAGCCTAGGAACAAATCTGGAATCACGCGATAGACCCAGCAAGAACCAGAATTCAGTGCCGAATTTTGCAGTGATTATCAGCAAGAACTAGGATTAATTCTGACACTAAGCCCGGAGATAAATGACCAAAGGTTCAGCCTTAATAAGCTCGAGGATCCAGAAGGGATCAAGACCCAGCCTGACATTAAAATGTGGTCAGCAAGATACAAGATCCTGCAGTCCTCAAATACGCCCCAAAAGATCCGGCAAGAACCGGGATGCACCCCGGCATTGTACCGAGGGATCCAGCAAGAACTAAAACGAAGCCGATGTGTGGAGTGGTGGCAAGAAAACCTGCAAGAACCCGGAAACTACGTGGAGTTTTTGTCAGAAGCCTGTACCCATACACACAGATTATTTGATTAGTTCACAGACCTAGCAGTGCGGTGCCACATAATATAACTGATGAAATCAGGACGTATACACGACTAGCGCCCGCCTTGCAGCAATGTGTTGACCCACAACGTTGCGGCGTCCTGGGCCGAAGAGAAAGGGCGAAAGTGGCAATCTCTCCTTCTTACGGTCTTTCCCGCATTCAGAGTTGCCTCCTGAAAGGAGTTTCTATAAATGCCTTGTTCTAGAAAAAGGATAGAAAACTAAGACGTCCGAGAGCGGGAACCTCCCTCCAACGCGGACCCATTAGCGCCCGATGTTTTGTTGTTGTTGCTGCTGTTTTTGTTGAATGAGCTCTTAGAATGAGTGGACGACCCCGCGAGCTGCGTGGGTAGCGCTGAAACCCCGGCCTCCAGCCCGGCGTGGCCGCTACCTCGCCGCGTGGCCGCGTTTGACGGTCGCCTCCCGCCGTCAGGTCACGACGCGCGTGCTGGCCTCCAGCTCTCCGGCGCTGTACTGGTTCGCCGCCCGCCTGCTGCACGGCCCGGCGCCGGCGGCGGCGGCCGGCCGCGCCAGCTCACGCCACGTCGGGGTGAGCGCCCCCACTGCCGCCGACTGGGCCCGGCTCCGCTCCGGCCGGGGCCAGCCCGTGCTGCTGAGCTGGGCCGGCCGGCGCACGGACGGTCTGAGTCGGTGACTTGGGTCGTTGAAAGTCACAGTGTGCTCAAAACGGTCATCGGCCAGCCGACCAGTGAAAAACGTGTATGGCAGCATTCCTCGCGTGTACCCAACGTCTTCTGGATAGCAGACTTCACGTACTGATCTTCTGTGTAATTTGAGGACGTTCATTGTACCTGCGAGGTTCCCCGGCCCAGCGTGCCTGCAGTTGAGCCAGGTCGAGTCTGTTATGTCCCGCTGTCCGGCTTCTCCCGGTCGTGGCTCTCTGAGCGCGTCCCTGTTTCCCATGCAGTCTGCCGTCTGAGCTTGCCTCTACTCCCTTGGCCGTGTGCCGTCTGCCGTCTGCCGTCTGCCGTCTGAGCGTGTCTCTGCTCCGTAGGTATCTGCTGGCGGCTCAGGCTCGGCGCTCCGCTGGCTGGCCGACCCGCCGAGTCGAGCCGGCACTGGTGTGCAGTTCTACTTCCTGGCATACGCCGTCATCGGCACTTGCCTGTTCTCCAACAACCTGCCGTGGACGTGAGCCGACCGGACCACGTGGTCCGCTCTACCAGCGGTCACGGCCCGGCGCGCCGAGCATACCGGTCCGGTCTGTTGTGGCGGACGTGGCTCCGGTCTGCTGTGGCGGACGTGGACCCGGTCTGCTGTGGAGGACGTGGCTCCGGTCTGCTGTGACGGACGTGGCTCCGGTCCCCTATTGCGGACGTGGACCCGGTCTGCTATGGCGGACGTGGCTCCGGTCTGCTCTGCCTTACGCGAACACGTTTAGGGAGTCCCCTCCCTCATTCGCCGATGCGTTCGCGAACAGGTGGTGTCGATGAACCCTTCGCCCGCCCACCACGTGGCCTGGCCGCACCACGTAGCCTCTGACATGGTACGCGGCTATCGACGGGCATGCCTTCCATGGCTCAGCACCGGCTTGTCAGCCGGCAGATTGCCGGTGCACTTTGGACTGTGATATCTGAATTGGTGTAATTGCCCGTCGCGAATGTCGGCGCTTGCGCTAAGAGAGTCTACAAACTGCGGGGTGCTAGGAGGTTGGTTTGCAATGCACGTCAATGCCATATGGGCAAGACATGTACGTATGGAAGAACATTGGTTTTAGGCATCGACCTAGGATCTGGTGTAATCATCGTGGTAGTAATCAGAGGGCTTCGCTGTCCTAGTATGTGGATAGTTATCCATCCAATGTATCGTTCGGTCGGCGCCCCACACCCACATCTGGTTGCCGCAGCTCGCCAACATATAACTCTTCCCTCGTCGCGTTTTGGTTGTGCGCGTATGTTAGCTCTTTGTTAAGTTGTCATTGCTGTGAGTTGCTTTGCAATACAATGCAATACAATACCGCCTGTGACCGCCTGTGATCGTTCGCATTATTTAGCAGTGCGTCCTATTCATCTGAAGAGCTCTAAAGTAGTCATGTTGCATCGATTTTATGATGGTATGACCTATGTTGAATTTATGGTTGTCTACCCTTTGTCAACTTTTGTGCGAGACGCTGCATGGTTGTAATGAATCGATGTTTAGACTTTGTCACGAAACATGGATACCACGTGTCGTAAGTGATGTTCGGAACAGGAGCCTAGCCACTGACTCCCCTTGAGATTGTCGCGAGCTTGCCTTATCTGCGAAATGCGTCATGGCACATATTCACGCTAGGGCCATTGTGGATTCTTAAAAGCGTCTGGCAGCTGAGCCCGTGCGTGTGCCGCGCCATGTTGCGCCGTGCCGTGCCGCTGCGGTAACCGCCGCGCCGCCGCGCTGAGAGCGGGTGCGTCGGCCGCCACCTGTGGCCGGGCCGGGTGACAATCGGGCCCGATAACAGGCAGCCACAGGTGGTCACCTCCCGCCGCGGGCCCGGCCGCCGCCGCGCGGCTGGGCCGACCGGGCGCGGCCGGTCCGGCGCACCGCCGGCGTGAGCGCCGCCGCCCGCCGGCGCGGCCCCGGCGCGCTCCGCCGCCGCCGCCGCCGCCGCTGCCGCGCCCGGGCCGCGCGTTACGGCCCGGCGCGGTGCAGCGGCCGCACGGCAGCAAGCGTGCCGACCTAGCACAGCCTAGCCAGCCCGCTCACATTTCCGCGCGGAAATTTCCTGCTGGTGGCGTGTGTTTTGGCTACCGGCCTGGGCTTGGCCAGTGGCAGGGTTATTTAGTAACTGGGAACACCGCTGTGCAAATACCCACAACCACGCCAATCAATGGTTTGGCCTATGAACTGGAGTAGGCCCGGACGGACGGCGGTGCGCACTGGCCCCCGTGCTGGCTTGGGTTTTTGACGTGTGCGGTACATCCGACCAGCGATTGGGAGTTAAAATGATAGTTACAGCTCACTGTTGTATTTCGGTTGTTGAGACTTTAACGCCTGGCAACATGTATTCCACATGCGGTGGGGCTGAGTTGTAACAACAACCTACCAACACCTATCAACAATTGGGCAACTGCCACGAATATCGATGCGACAAGCAGGCAGGTTCGTGGCAGGTATCGTGCAGGTAGGTTCGTGATAGGAAATATTGTCATGCGTTCTCTATTCAGCGAATTAGTTTTTTTAATTGCGCCAAACACATAACTAACCCTCCATCGCACAACAGTTATGGATGGAGGTGACCCAACTTTCTGGGACCGCGAACGAAACGATAGACCGCAATGCCGTCGGATTATCCCCGCTTGATTGTGCAGTCATCGTGCGCAAACCTGATCCAAATCCATAGTCACGGAGGGCCGATGCTTTGGCGGGCCTTAATCCCCTCAAGGCTTTGACGTTGCGTCTCAGTGTATGCCAATAATGCAAAAGGACACGTCTGTGATGAACACCTATCAACAACTGGGTAAATCTGAAGCCTGAGGTAGAATTCAAATTTGATAACTCGCGGAGCTTAAGCTTTTTGTGTTTTTTTTTGTTGTATTATCCAGCTGTCCACCGCTATCCACACCACGACGTCGAGCCGAGCTTCGCGTCGACTTTAGTGGCAAGCAATTCCATTCGCCCTGAAGCCTGACGATTTATAGAACCTTGCGTTACAACTGAGCTCCTGTCAGGACATTGAGCCAGGACCTGGTTGCATGCTGGATGTTGCTGAATTCCTCGGCCATCAAGCCACCCGCGGATTTTTCCTGGGCTCTAGCTCTCGATTACACCCCACTTTAAGCCCCCTTGCCTTAGGTGGGCTCGCGGTTGAAAACTATTCCCACCTATTGTGGTCATTGTGAAGCCGTCCACCCAATGCACCAAAGCGCCCCAGATACCCATACGTTTGTAACAGGAGGGCCACTTTATGTACTTTGGGGTGGGGGGGAGGACGAGCTCCAATGCTTCTGAGCCCCCTCAATACATGAATACATGTGAGCAGAGGGAATACTGAGCTGAATAAACACAAAACAATTCTCTTACTATTGATATACTAAGTAGAAGGCACCCAAACACATCACTATTAGCATCATTCTAGTTTTGCGCCGAATATGGGTACGCGATTTTTCTTTGTCATGCTATCAGCCTGCAAAGGTACGGATTTTTTCTCAAATAATAACGCCCGGATTGGGATAAAGAACAATTGACTACGACGTGCGGCGTCTTCTAAAAGCACATGACCCACATAAAAGTTAATGCATGTTTTCCACAACAGCGACAAGTGGATTGTCGCATGGTCGATAGGTCAACTTTTTCGGCTGGTCCACCCCGAACCGATTTTAGGTGACACCCCTGGTTTGCACTGCCAGCGAGCAGGGGACAGAAGCCATTTTCCTTTGTTCCGACGCCAGCGAGTTGGGGACGGCAACCATTTCCTTTGTTCCCATGCCACCGAGTTGGAACGGCAGCTATTTCGTTTCGTTCCAACTCCAGCGAGTTGGGAACGGCAGCTATTTTCCCTTGTTCCGACGCCAGCGAGTTGGGGACGGCAGCCATTTCTCTTTGTTCCGATGCCACCGAGTTGGGACGACAGCCATTTCCTTTTGTTCCGACTCCAGCGAATTGGGGACGGCAGCCGTTTCCTTTTGTTCCGATGCCACCGAGTTGGGACGACAGCCATTTCCTTTTGTTTCGACTCCAGCGAGTTGGAGACGGCAGCCGTTTTCCTTTGTTCCGACGCCACCGAGTTGAGGACGTCAGCCGCAGCCGCACCCGACACCCTTTGTTCCTCCACAGGGTTGAGGACGTCAGCCGTCTCCCTCTGTTCCCCCACCGAATTGAGGACGTCAGCCGTCTCCCTTTGTTCCGACGCCACCGAGTTGATGACGGCAGCTCTTCCCCTTTGTTCTGACGCCTCTGGCCTTGGTCTCGTGTTCCTCGGGCCGTCGCCCCAGTCCCTGTGAGCAGCCCTGGGCAGTGGACTCGGGCCAGCTCGGGGCCCCACCGTCTCGTGTTTATTCGCCAGGCAATGATAGCTGTGGCCTGGCAACGAGTGCATTGCGAAGTGCCGGGGTCATCAAATACGTTCCATCCCACTTAAGGTACCCAGAAGTCTCACAGAGATCTAGGCAGCTCCTCGACGTGCCTTGCCACGTCCATTGGATGCTAATGATTAACATGTATGTGGAACGCCGTTCCGTCCTGACCAAACCGAAACACCCCGTGCCTTCAGCCTAACTTTCCGCAGCCGCAGCAGCTTCCGCCGTCTAATGCCCACCCGCTCGGCCGCAGCACCCTCCGCAGCGACCACACCAACTCCCGCCACAGCAAAAGCGGCCGTCACACCACAGCGGCGTGTATTTGGTAGTGGGTCGGTACAGCAGTTCGGGCAGCGCGGGCGCTGGCTGGCGCCTTGTGTCCGGCCCGCGGTGCGGGCGGCGGCGTCGGCCCGCGGCTGGGGCCGCTGCTGCTGCTCCGGGGGTCCGTTCGTCCTCAGGTCCGCCGCTCGGCCGCTGGCGGACCTGGACACGTCGGCTCTGTATCACATGGGGACCTGCCGGCACAAGGAAGGCACGTGTCACACGCACATGCGCACCAGCCAGGCGAGGTCAGCACTGTATCATATGGGGATCCGCCGGCACACACATGGTGCGGGTCACATGGGGGCGGCTCTGCCCTGGTTATACAGAAGCTTTATTTTCACTTGGCAGCGCCGGGCGGTCAACCGTCAAAGAACCCCCTGATTGTCACCCCGGGTCACTAGGATAGAACCCCGTACCACCATTTTAAGATCGGTGCCTAACCGCACTAATCGGTGCTCAACTCGCCATTCTGGCGTGGCCGGCGTGTCTAGCCGTAATGCTCTACACTCGCGACCGTCCGACACCAGCCGTGTCGACCGCCCGACACCAGCCGTGTCGACCGTCCGACACCAGCCGTGTCGACCGTCCGACACCAGCCGTGTCCACCGCCCGACACCAGCCGTGTCCGCCTGCCGACACCAGCCGTGTCCGCCACCCGACACCAGCCGTGTCGAGCGCCTCACACCAGCCATGTCCGCCGTCCGGCATCCCCCTGCGTTCGGTGCTGCCGCGCTGCGCCGCTGCAATCCGGACCGGGGCCGGATATCGCCGGCCGGCGGCGCGGTTAGCCTTCAGCGGCGGCCGGTCTGCGGGCAGGCGACGTGACGGCTGCGGCCTTGGGCTCCCGGAGGCCGGGAGCGCCGCGCTGCAGTGCCACCCGTCAAACGCGCCTCGTGCGCCAGCTTCAGGTCCGGCAGGCTTAGAGCGAACGCGCCTTGATCCAGCCCCGGTCACAGAGGCCGCCCGGCCAGCAGTACACGCAGTATTCCACCCGTGCAGTCCCTACGCAGACGCTTTCTCGGAGACTATACCTCCAGTTGCATCACCTTGTCGAGTCAAACAGCAGTCTGACGCTGTGAGCAGCGGTCATCTCCGTGCCATTATCCCATAAGAAGATTACATGTTCGCCAACAAGATGCTAGACATTGCGACATCTTCGCGACTTTAATACGGGCCACCACGGCCCAGCGCGTTCGGCTGTTGCTGTGTGTCAGCCGTCCGGCGGCGGCCGGACGCCGGGGAGTCGCCGACTCCCGGCCGCGGCCAGCTCGTTTGCGTCTCCAGATCTTGTCCCGCGTCGTCTGCTGTCTACGGCGCCACAACAGCCGGCGCGACGGGCAGCAGTGACCTTGAACTCAGCTGAGCGGGACACCGGCCGCCGCGCGCAGCCGCGTTCCTCGTCACGTTTCGTCACGCGCCGAGGCTGCCGTGGCGCAAGGCTCTATAGCGATGGCGTCAGTACCGCAGTCGTCCGCTGGACAGGGACGATTACGTGGCGAAGGTACGAATCGAAAAACGGGAGTGCTCTGGACCTATTTTCTCAAGACCTCTGCTGTCATCGACTGATATTATTTCGGAGCATGGTGAAAGCTCGCGAGCACACCATTGCTCCTGTAAGAGGCCACTGCCGTATGTTGTGTTCCAGCTCGCGTAAACCAAGCAAAGGCAAGCCATGAGGGAGCAGAGTGATCTTTCTGCCAATGGCGTCAACATTACATAGTTCAAGTTGATGCTATCCGCCAAACTCTTGATTTTCTTTGACGCCCCCAGCCAGGGCGCCGAATGTAAAGGCGGGAGCGTGGAAACTGGGGGGGGGGGGGGGGGGTCGGGGCAGGACCAGCATCCACCCAAAAAACTGAAAATATACCATTAGCTTTGTGGGTGTTGAATGGAAAGAAGTGATTCAAAATGGATATCGCCCTCTCTTCCCCCCCCCCCCCCCCCCCCCCCCCCCGGAAGAACTTCTATTGCCGTAGCACACGCCCCTCCAATGACTGATGGAAGTATATTTACGAGCGTAGAGGCTGAAATGGCTTATCATCCACGCTCCAGATACCGCGCCAGCTTCGCATGACTGAATTCAGCCATTCAGCCGTGGTTATATTTGGGAGGGGGATCTGAGAATTGTATGACGGCCGCGTCGCACGCGTCGTGCGGTGCCACGGACCCTCGTCTGCGGAGGCAGCAGGCAGCTTCAATAGGCCACTGGTGACTTGCGTTACGCGATTCTGCGCGGCAAGCGTCCTGCGCGTCACCTGAGATGGGACGACGCCACTCCCACCGAATAAATCCTGGAATAGGACACTATCTAGCAGCCAGCGGACCACTACCCCTCTATGCAGGTCGGCGGGTTGCGGACCTGCAGGCCTGCCAAAAGCACTACAAAGGGCCAGGTTGGGTTTTCATTTAAACAGTCAATGAGTCACGTACCATGCCGTAGTTTAAGCACCTAGTCCCATCCTTTTGAATGAATAGGTTTTACGCTAAGCAGAGTTGATAGCGCAAACCGCGGACCCAACATCCGATTGTGAAATTGCAGGTCAACGGCGGAGTTTTGTGGCAAAGTTTCAAGTAAAAACGCAACAATGCTCGGCACGGTCCGTCTTGTCCGTCCGACGTCACGTGACCTTTCACGTGACCGTTATAATCGGCCGCAGGCAATCCCCTCCCACAGCAAACAGCAAGCGTTCCAGGCCACTTGGAGCTACCACGCCACGCGATCCGAATACAGGCGCTGCAACTACTGAGCTCCAGAACGGGACCTAGCTGGTCCGTCCCGGTCCAGTAATGACGTCACACCGGTCGAGCGGCGTCAACACATCATGCGCCACAGCTTTCGTTGCCTTTATATTCGCCCTCTCATGGGGAAAACGTTCTTGCCACAAATGCGCCAGTCAATATCAAGGTCAACAAAGCCAACAACGTCAGCGTCCATGCTTCATTGTGCATGTAATGCGTGCCCTACATGACCGGGGCACGGTTGATGTCACCCTAGTCAAGTCCTCTATCTCATACTACTGGGATTACGCGAGAAGGCACCAGTGTTCGATAACATTCGCGTGCACGGTGCGTGTGAGCGGCGGGCTGTCGATGAAATTCCATCCAAACACAAATAAACGCCCTTGTGTAGGGACAGGCACACCGCGGACATGTATCGTCGAAACACCACTTTTTTGGTTGAGAATAAATGCTAGACGAATGTCGTCTCAAATTCTGGGCAAAAAAAGACAACTTTCAGCGGGCTGGGGGGTCGCCAAGCCACGTGACATTAGGTCCAACACTCAGGCCAACAATATTGGCGTAAATGTAGCAGATTACGTCAGAAATATATTTGGGGGTTCTCTCCGGAGTGTAGTCTTCCATTCAGTTGGTGCTCCAGTGCTACTACCCCCCACCCCCCCCCCCCTTCCCCCATGCATGCAATGAGAAGGGCCTGGTATAAATATTTGACCATATCATGTAGGATAAACAGGTGACCAGCTGGGATATACACTTGAACAATGAGGGCAGCAAGCAGGAGGAAAATGGCATGCCACATTGTATGTACCAAGTGAGAAGAATGCAGCTTAACTCAATCATGAACAAAAACTTCTTTGTTTTATTTTCTTTGCAGTGTCTCCTTAGCATAACCAGCTACAATATACATTTTAACAATGAATGCAGGAAGCAGGGGGGAAATGACATGCTGCATTGTGGGCATGTCATAACATGTGGGAAAAAGCAGCTTATGCTCGTTCACAATCAACAAACTTCTTTGTTTTACTTTCTTTGCATTATCTACTTAGCAACATGTTAATACCTCCCTGCTCTTCACCATATCATAGCATATGTTTAAAATACATATATGTTTAATCACTTCATCTTCACCTGCTTTCCAAAACTAGCCAAACAACTATGGCTGGCAATCTGTTCCAAAGACCCACAAGCATTCTGGACATCATGTCCTAGTTTGCGACTTCTGCTCATGGTTTAGTGCATTATACAGTGAACTCTACATTCAATGTAACATTTATACTTTGGCCATGTGTTCTCTCAGTAAGTATGCAACACAAAATTGTGCAGGGTCTTAGCCCCTCATGGATAAAATCTGAAGGATAAACATGTTGGTAGGTATGTTTGACCAGTTTAGCTGCACTCTCATCCATGACACTAGTCAGATGACTGCATAATGGCAACTTTTCAGTTACTTGGGTCTTTTAGTTGTTTTTTTTAGAATGCAGCAAACTGGAAAGAAAGGTATTTTTCCAAGCATCCACTTTTATATTTGGTATCCTGGTAATGCCACTGACATTATGCAAAAGGGGACAAAGAAAACCAGCTCAATTAGCAGTAAAGTACTATCTACTGGCACCTACATGCACATGTCACAGATCACTGAGCAGATGCTCCATAATTACAAAGACTTGAAGCTCAGAAAACTAAGTATTTGGACATGTGGAAACATCACTTATATTATGGTATTTTGATACACTGTGAGCAGTAGAATTTTCTGGAACCATACCCTAAAATTAAGAAATTTTCCAGTTGAAGGAAAACAATACCATTGAAACGCATTTTATCTAACCTCAAAACTAGGTGAAAGCATTCTGTCCACACCATTGAGCCCACGCACTGTTCCCCTACCCAAAATGTTCAGGCTACCTCAACTGCACTCACCTTAAAGCTGACATCAGTTATTGCTGTTCTTTGGAGACAACTTTTTGTTCGCCTCAGAGTTATGCAGTTTGTTGACGATTTTTCTCGTGTGGCCGCTGGGATCATGGTGGTCGTGATTCACCGCCGCCTCAGCTTTCGAGCGTCCTTTTCCGCCTTTTGTATTCAGGAATTTGTCCTGTTCATAGTTATAGTGCTCATACTCATCGATACCCTCCTCTGGTGGGACAGGGTCAGACATGGTAAAAGCAAGCAGGCTGTAGCAATATTCACGTCACTATCACCGCGGGCACCACTCCACCTCCAGCCCTCCCACCTCAGTGTTTACATGAGAGGGTCAGTAGGGTTTTTGGCAGGTCCTTGCTTGCGTGGGGTTGGGCAAGACGGTTGGTGATTGGCTTATTGTCAGCGTGTGTGACCAATCACAGGCCTAGTCTCAGGAATGGTCGGAAGCATCTGATTATGGGTGCGTTCGGCCGGCAAATCACTTCGGAACATCGGTAAAATTCTCCGGAATGGTGTTGGGCACTGCCAACGCAGCTAATCATCATATATAATTATTCGTACCGTGGAAGACTCCGCGAAAATTTTCCGAGCATGGTCACGACATAATCTGTTTTCGTCATGCAGAGCTGTGCAGTGCATGACAGATCCAGAGGGGGGGCTACGGGCTATGGCTCTGCCCTTGGGCTCCGAGGGAGGGATGGGAGGAATGACAGGCCAGTTTATTGCCGGCTTCTCGCTCAAACCGCGACAAAATTTGGGCCTCCAAGTGATCAGGAAGGGCCCTGAGGAAAGGTAACAGCCCACGAGCAGCAAAAAAAGAACATAGAAGGGTCGCGATTGGAGAAGTTTCAAGGCCCATCACGCTGGCCAGAGGCCCCACGCTGCTCCCCGGGATCCTATACTTTTACTTGCCGGAACATGTCCGATCACTCAGGGGGCTTCCACATTGGTCTGAGGATCTTCCGATTTTAGGAAGAACTGGAGGGGCAGAAGGGGCCAGTCGTGTTAGGGTCTGCGTCGTCGTCGGGGGGCCAGACGTGTTGACCTGTGAGGTGCTCCCTGCATTGGTTTTGGCTCTTCTGATTAAGTCGAAGTCAGATTCTGAAAAGTCAATTTTACGGCCACCGATGTCGTGTAGGTCATTTCCGTTGGTTATGAAATTTGTGACACTCAACATACTTGCGTCTGACGTTCTCAGCACATTTTGGACGCTAGAAAATGTTGTACTTCTTCATTGCAATTAAAATGGAAACTCTGTATCAGTCATTAGTCATCAGTTCATGACATCGACTAGCCCGCTTGCCACTGAAAGTCGGCTCGCAGTGTTTTTGCTTGGAATCAAGTGTCGTGCCTGATTTTCATGGTACCGAGCACCTAACTTAAGCTCATCCTGCGATGTATTTTCCGAAATAGTTTACCTAAAATGAAAATATTTACCATGATTAGGAGAAAATTAAGGCGCTGCATTTATATACGTACGTACCACGCTACATTTTCTAAGGTTGCGCACATGACGATGGTTTCCCTTATTAAGAAAAATACACATGCTTTCTTTGGAGGGGCCCAATCTCCAGAGGTCAACAATCTTGCGACCCTACCCCACCCCATCCCCACCCTGGACGAAATTCTAGATCCTCGACTGTAGATATGCTGTTGGATGTGCAAAGTGCATGGGAGACGAAACTGGTGGCTAACATCCGGAACTGTCGAACGAAAATAAAGAACCTCCGTGGATGATTATCGGAGAGATGATTACTCGCCGAATAGTTTGGCGATGGCCGAACGCGCCCTATGGGTGCTGCCAGATAAAATAATGTACCAGACCCCATGAGTACATTCGGGAGCGGCGTCCATGGACGCCATGCCTACGCACGTGGGTGGGGGTGTCGTGGGGGGAGTAAACTCCACCCTCGGACGCCGGCGATCCCAAAATGTGGAACCCGAGGTCCAGGGGCCCCATGGGCAGAAGCGTGGCTAAGGGTGCATGACTGGTTATCCCTGAGCCAAAAAGTGTATACTAGATATTGGCTTCTCCGAAGTTAGCGACAAGCTTCCCTTTTGATGCAAACGAGTCAGAGAGCCATTATGGCACGACATCTGGCGTCCGTTTTCAATATCATGGAATCCTCCTGGACAAATTAAAAGTCAAATGATAGGATTTTGACAGGCTTCCCTCGGCTCATGGACTAGTGTCCGTCTAAAAGTCCTGCCCTCTCGCTGTCGCCCATCAGGCTGAAGGTTAATGTGAAATAGGGGAGCGGGAACTATTTCAAAACTGTGGGGAGGGCAAACCAAAAATGGCTCGCCAACCCCTTCATTTTTCCTTGGATTTCGACACTCAATTTCTTAACTCGGTGAAAGAAATGATTTGCTTTATTAAAGTATTCATTATTGCTATCAACACAAGGTTTGGTGTAATGTCACGTATAAAATATTCCACTGGGCTTATCTCGTCTATTTGAAACATTCTGGAATTCATGATATCGTTTTCATGTACATGTGAAGATTACAGTTATTCGGTTACTTACGATGATGAATGAAATCATGCAATACCAACACACGACTGCAACCATGTCCCCACATCCATGCCGTCCACTTTTGCGGTCACGAAACTGAACCAAAAATGGTGATGCCGAAATTTCCCAAGGCTCTAAGTGCCTCCGTCTAATTTATAATTAAGTTGCTTTTGGGTTTACGGTCCTGAAGTGCTTGACCCATTGTATATCACATCTCGAGGTAACTCAGGCAAGAATTATGCGTTGTTACTGCAGTGATCAACTTTTTGACCAGTGGCCGACGGCAATGACTTTTAAAACTGGGGTTCACCACCAGTGCACTGCTGACCACTGCAGTGGTCGTTTTGGTCAGAAAAAACAACATGAGATGATTGGTATGCCATTACATTGTTATATTTCACCATTACGTTGCTTTCAGCTCCCAGTCTGGATGTCCATCGAACTCAGATCACCGGTCTCCTTACCAGATGACCACCAATGAGCACCAAAGTAGAAGCGGTCAGTAAAATGAAAATAGCAAATCGATAACAAAAAGTAACAAAATAATAAAGTTATACATATATATATATATATATATATATATATATATATATATATATATTCTTGGCATCGTCTCATATGAAGCGATGCCATGGGCTCGCGCTGGCATGGCATCGAGTTAATAGTCGAATTGAACGCTTGACCATAAAAATATGAATGTGATTTAAGAGGCGTTTATAGGGGTGGAAACGCTGCGGCGCCATCCAGCTCTCAGTTGTTATTCAATCTCCATTAAAACCAGAAGCAGTTTGATGCGTGAATAGCCGAGCCAATAAAGCCGAGGCAGGTAGGATCATCGGTAAGGAAAGGAATTTTTGCTGCTGAGTGTACTTACGTACTATGCTAAGTCGTTCACGATTGCTCCCAGGAAGGCAGTTTCCCACCTAAAAGAGCTAACAAAAATAAGGGCCCCAAAATTTCTGAGCGAATCAAGAGCGGTGAGGGGTGAGAAGAGGAGACCACCACGCCAGTTTGTTCAAGTTGGCAACAGGTTCGGATTCATATTCTGATCGGTACTCGCTCGACAGCAGATTTTTTATTGATCTGAAAATCTATACACAGATATCGCGTGACCTTTTAAGTGCAATGCGCATAAAACTGAAACTGGTAGGTAAATTACGCAAGCCTTTCCTTGGTACCCAAGCAGAAGGTGTAGGGTCTTATCATTAAAAATAGGCTGCTTTTTCGCAAAAATAATTGCGTGAAAATAGCTGTTAACCTTTTCAACACGACGATAGCGACAGCGGATAATGCCGTCATGTAGACGACGGCCTCTATCCATTCGCACTGCTGATCCATGAAGTAAGTTTCACAAACAAATACAGTTTGCTTTGCTTCTCTACGACTTCTCCGCTAATCTGATGTAGTGTTAATTCGAGAACATTCGGCACCGGTGGCGGACCTCACTTGGTGTTCGGGTGTCCATTCTCAGGGAAAAGAAGCTAGGTTCAAGTTAGAATACGTTCACACGATTGTGAATCAGAAGAAACACACACCACTATCCACGTTTGTAATAAAGGAACGACTTTCCTAATAATCATGGGCGTGTCGCATGTAACGTAGCATGATGGGAGCAGTCATGGTTTGAAGAAAACCTGAAACTATTAGGTCAGTGAAATTACGCATGTTGCGTGACACACGGCTTTTAGCGCAGCTTTCACCTGGAGCCATCTTGGAGAGGGCGTGTTTTCCACAGCTTAAGTAAAAATGTGAAGTGGCCTGGGTGGCTGGTGCGTGTTCAAACGATTTAGCTTACAGAAAGAAAATATTAAGGTGAAACAACACCCACAAGCATGGGCATGCAGCGAGTGCACCACCCAACGCCGCGCTGCTCGCCGCGGTCGCCGTGGGGCGGGCCGCCGTGCTCGCTGCTGCGGCCGCTGCCATCTGCTGGCCGGCGGTGGGGTCGGTGACCTGGGACAGAGGACCGCGCCCCCGCCCGAGGGCCGAGGCCGCGCGGCAGCGGCGCCGGGCGGGGCCTCCTCCGGCCGTCGCTCTCACCGCTCGCACGAGGGTGCCGCTGTCCGGCCGGGCATCTGAGCCAGACAGTTGTCTGGTGCCGCTCTCTGGTGCCGCTGTTTAGTGCCGCTGTCAGACTTGGCAGGTGAGCTGGACAGCTGTCTGATGCCGGCGTCTGGTGCCCCTGTCCGACAGGACAGCTGAGCTGGGCAGCTGTATGGTTGCTCGCCAGACTTTCCAATGGCCATTGGTGGATTCAAGGACATGTGGTTTGGTGCAGCCGCAACCCGATATATCAGCTTTTCAAGACCCGCGTCCAATGGTATGCAACGGCTGGCGTGAGCACAACGGCTAGTTGAATCCCCCGGTTACAAAGCACAATTTCACCAGCGACGGAGGCAAGCGCGGAGGGCTCGCCAGCGGCGCGCGGCCGGGCGGCCGGGCGCGCGGCAATCGGAGCAGATGAGCCACGCGCCTCTGAGCAACAGACGGCTTCGAGAAAAGCCCTAACTTGAAAACATTTGTCAAGTTTATATGGTCCAAAAACGTTGAGCTAGCTTACCTTAATCTCTGTGCGGAGATGATAGGCTGGGCAAAAATATATATGAAAAGCATCCGGTAAAAGCTTTCCAATAACCGAGAGGGCCAGGCTTCCTGCTCGTGTTAATCCTCCATATGCATTCAAAAACTGAAATACTGCAGAACTGGTGTGAGGCTGTTATGGAAAGTTTCCAAATGCAATGTCATGATCCCCTGATCCTCCGCTTATCCAAGCAATAAGCTGCATCTGAAAGGCACGCGTTTCATGTGTGAATATCACAACCTACCGGGCTTAGAAATATGCCCATTCCCGTTCTTACTCAGACTAGCCTCTAAATAAAGCCAGCTTAAATTGCAAAATCTGTTCTCTGAAGGCTTTATTGACCCCAGGAATGACCACGGATATGTCGGCCTGCACGCAATCGCGTGCTTTCCACTCAAATGGAGGGGTCGTGGCCATGTCAACCGGGTCAGCACGGGTCACTAAAGATGCTCTCAAGGCGAGGCGATTTGGGGTGTTATTGAGGCACCACAAAAGTTTGATTCACGACAGCTTTGCATTGGGTTGTCCTGGTTCCAGTCGTGATCGTTATAGTTGTGTTGTTCAGCTGTCGCCCTGCTCAGAGTTTCGATCGGGCCCTGCAGATGGCAGTCTCGTTCGGATGATAGATGACGGTAGCAGTATCAAGCGGTTGTTACATGGAATTGCCGTGCCTTAAACGTGTCAAATACCTTGCGTTGCTGCCTGAAGAAAGCTAGGAAGTCAACCACACGGTCTCGTGTTTACGGCTCACCTATCCATATACTATATATTTACGTACATCCGCCTACTTACATGTACGCGTAAGTACAAGCAGTACATCATACGCCGTTACATCACTATACACGAATGCACCTATACGCAAGCGTTTGTACAAACAATAGTTGCTCAGATAATCGCACAGGTGTACACGCATGTATGCACACGGGCGGGTGAGTACATACACATCGCATCCTAATTATCTTAAGCATTCTTGAGATCAGCTGAGAGCAGTGTGGCATCGGGAGAGGTTTGACACGTCGCAAAGCCTTTCACCTGTTCATACAGATGGCAAAGAAGAACTGCTACGACACCGCACATTCCAAATTAACACTAACAGCAACACATAACTACGTGATGTGAAAGTCACCCTTCAGCAGACGCATAAATGTCTTTTTGAATTGCTGGTTGGCCATAGCATAACAGATGGGATTAATGGGGCTATTGGCATAACATAGAAAGTACGCCAGCATGTACACGTGTCCGTTGATGCAGGTGGGACAAAAGCTGGCGATGAGAGCGAATATGTGATATGGCGTCCAGCACGCCACGAACGCGCCCATAATGATCGAAATGGTCTTGAGCGCCTTGTTGGCGCGGTTCTCCGACTTGGAGACGTGGCGTTTCTCCTTCACGCGGCGCCGCAGCCTGCGCCCGATGGCCGTCACGAGCGACGGCTTGGCGGCGGCCTCGGCGGCGGCCCCGCACTGCGCGCGCGACGCCGCCGTCGACTCGTCCTTTTCGATCTTCTCGTCGACCGGCTTGGCGGGTGCGGCCGTCGCCGGCTGCACCGGCGGCGCTGCAGCGGCTTTCGGCGCTGCTGGGGTAGCCGCGACGACGGAGGTAGCGGGCGCCGCTGCACTTTGGCAGGTGGTCGTCGTCGTTGCTGTGCTCTGACAGGCAGCCGCTGGAGCTGCTGTACTCTGGCAGGCAGCCGCCGGCGTGGCCGCGGTGCTCGCAGGGGTCGCGAGCGGCTGCGGCGCGCCACTCGTAGCCGGTGCGGCAGCCGGTGCGGCGGGGTTCTGAGCGGTCTCCGCTGGCCAGAGAGCGTCAGTGTAGGCCGGCGGGGCCTCGCCGGGCGCCGCATACGCCGCGGACGTGCTGATGGCCGCCGCGGAAGAGCCGGCGTCCGCGGCGGCCGGTCCTGACGCGGGCGCCGCGTCGGCCGGAGAGGACGTCGCGGGCGCCGCCCCTTGCTGCTCCGCCTGCGGCGTGCGCGGCGGCGTGCGCTGCGTGGGCGGCCGATCGGTGCCGTTCATGCGACCGATGGTCTGCACGCCGGTGGAGACGCGCTGCGGGTCGGGCGACGCCGACCGGCAGGTGGTCTCCTCCGAGCTGCTCTCCAGGCTGATCCAGGGCTCGGCCGGCGGCCGGCCCGGCGCCGCCGTCTGCGAGGCCGTCTCGGTGAGGCGCCGGCGCCGGCGGCGCGGCGGGCTCGGCTCGACCGGCGTGCTGGTGGCCCGCGGCAGGCGCGGGTCGGCGGTCGGCTCGGGGCAGGAGCCGGCCCGCTCGCCGGCCGGATCCGGCGGCACTGGCGTCTGGCTGGGCGTGATGATGGCATTGGGGCGGCGGCGACGGCACCCCCGCCTCGAACGTCTTGGTCGGCGACACAGGCGACGAGAGCGCGCCCGGGTACCAGAAGGAGGAGGGCGGCGTCTCGGACGAGGGCGACAGCAGCAGCGAGCTCTCGTCCATGTAGCGCAGCTCCGAGCCGTCCAGGTCGATGTGCACGTCGTATTGCAGGTGGAGGCCGCCGGGGCCGCCGCCGGTGAAGATGAGCCGTCGCTCGCGCTCCTCCGACGCCTGCCGCTTCAGCAGCAGGTGATCGGGCCGCAGCGGCTGGCCGTCGGCGAACATGGCCGGCGGCGCGATGGGCTCGAGCGAGTGTCCCTCGCGGATCACGTCCAGCTCCGGCAGGAAGCCGACCCCGCGGCCGGCGGCGGCCAGCGGCGCCACCAGGCCGTTCAGCTGCAGCGCCTGCGGCCGGCAGCAGACGGTACCGCCGCCGTTCGAGCCGCTCGAGCCGCTCGACGCCTCGTCGCTCGCGTCCAGGCCGGCCGAGGAGAGTGTGTCGCTGGTGATGCCGTCCGTCTGTGTGCCGGCCGGCGTGGTGGTGATGAGCAGCGCGCGCCGCGCCGCGCCGCCGGCCAGCACGCTCGCGACCGCCGCGCCCGCGTGGCCGTTGGTGATCACCGCCGGTGTTTCCGATTTGAGGGCGGTCACCACTGTGGCGGCCGGCTGGGCGGCGACCATCTTGTTGCCATTCGAGGCGGCGGTGACGGCCGTTGGGGCAGCTGTGCACGCGGCTGGGGCAGGTGCCACGTCCGTCGCGACGGGGTTTTGCACAGGCCGGGGCGTTTACTGGCGGCGCAGCTGCAGGGGCTGTGCCGTTCGAGGCCGGGGCAGCAGGAGCGGGAGTCACGGCCGGCGTTGTTATTGCAGAATTCAGTACACTGGTGACGGTTGTGGCGGCGGCTGCTGCTGACGGAGGAGCCTGGGGTGCAGCCGTGGGCACGGCGACGACGCTGGTTGCAATGACCGCTGGCGCAGCCGCGGGAGGCGGCATGGGCTTTGCCACCGCGACAGACTCTGTTCCCTCCGGGATCTTCGGCAGCACTTCCAAAGGCGGTTTCTTGGCTGGGGCCGGCTCCGCCTTCGGTGCGCTGGGCGTTGGGACGCTCTTCTTCGCCTGACTCGGTTTCAGGTCAGACGTCCCCTCGTCCGAATCGTAGCTGCTCGACCTTTCGTCGTTCACCTTGGAGAAGCTGGTTTCCTCGGCGGGCCGTGGTGCCCTTGCCGGAGTCCTTGCCTGGATCCTTGTGGCCGTTGGCCTTGGTGCTTTTGCTGGCGGCCGCCTTGACCACCGTGCTGACGGCGGCCGTGCTCTTGGTCGGCGCCCCTGAGCCGGCGCCCGTCGTCGTGCCCCCCAGCCCTCCCATCGCCTTCTTCATCTGCTTCTGCTTGGCGGCCGCTTTCTTTTGCATTTCGTAGGCAGTCTGATAGATCCCCGCGTACAAAATCATGAGTACAACCAGCGTCAGCCAGTAGTAGAACACGATCAGCGCCGTGTTGAAGACGGGGTCCTTTAGGAACTGCACCACACACTCGCCTTCGGCCAGGTCCCGGTAGCCGATGAAATGCTCCCAGCCGAAGATCGAGATGAAGAACAGGAGAGCGGGGATGATCCAAGTCACTGTTACCATCCAAATGACCTTGCTTTTGGTGCGCCAGTTGCGGTACTTGGCGGCGATCTTGACCTTGACCGAGCAGAACCGGTCGATGGTGATGAGCAAGACAGTGTACTGCGACACCAGACAGACGGTGTAGTCGACCGAGAGCCAGAGGTCGCACAGGATTGGGCCCATGTTCCACGAGCCGCGCAGCACGTACACCGTGTAGAACGGCATTGACACGCAGCCGATCAGCACGTCCGTGACTGCCAGCGACGCCAGGAAGTAGTTGGACGGCTGGCGGATGGTGCGCTCGCAGATGAAGGCCAGCAGCACCAGCAGGTTACCGCCCACGGTCAACACGATCAGCACCACCATGCACATGATGATGAAGATGGCGAACGGCAGGGGGAAGACGAGGCCGTAGTCGTCCGCGGGCGCGCCGTCTAGCGTTGAGTTGGTCATGTTGCAGATGTCGCTCGTGTCGTTCCAGTCGCACGCTAGGTCGTACTCGTAGCTGGTGCCGTTCAGCAGGTCCAGGAAGCTGCTACTGTTGCTGCTGAAGAGCTCGCCCAGAGGCACGGAGCCATTCAGACCCAGACGCCGGCGCTCCGCTAAAAGCTGACGCCTGAAAATGAGGGTGCGTTCGTCAGAAATGCATCCTGAGTTCTCTATACACGTAAGCACCACCGCACACGTCAGACCCACGTATCATTGCTACGCGACATTTAGGCCTGGAGAGAAGCGGGCAGGCTGCGTCAGAGTGATAACAAATGCTTCCATGGGCATCAAATATAAAGCGCGCGTTCAACGGCACGTGGCAAGTTTCGCCATTAACTTGATGCGTACCTAATTGTGGTACATTTGTGCGCGTGCAGTTCCGCGACTTCCCGCGATTAATTATGGCATATTTGTGATGGCACATGAACTGTTACATGTTTAATTTGCTCCGTTTATCATCTTTCAGAGCATCATTCCATAAAGAGATTAACGTTGTTCATAATTAGAGCTCTTGTTCACTCAGAAACAGAAGAGGAAAGGCGGGAGTGCTCAGAACAAAACCTGAAATTACCTGGGAAAGGAATGAACGATCTGCACACCTCCGACACGCACACTGAATTGTTAACGTGCCTTGGCCAGCAAAGTGTCCGTTGTCATCCGCTGTTGCCTAATGTATGGCAAAAGGCATCGATATCACCCATTCAATGTCGAGCACAGCTCTGCCTCATGCATAATGGGGAAGGCGGCGCCTCGCCAGCCGGCCGCGTCAGCCGCCCGCCGGCACCGGAAATGTGTTTCTGTCACGTCCGCGGATTCGGCTGTATGCTCACGCGCGCGCAGCAGAAGACAGCAGAAGACAGCAGAAGTCGCCCGCCGGAGCTCTGCGCCCGCGGTTACTAACGCTTCCGTTGCCCGTACGGGTCCGAGTGTGACGGCTGTAAGTGCCGAGATCGGCTGCGTCCCTGCCAGTGGCACTGTCGTCGGCTGTCGTGGGACTGGAGCACACCACTGTGTCGGTGCATGGGTCGGAGGAGGAGATGGCGAGGACACGCTCCATCAAAAGCAGTGGTGGAGCGTGTCGAATGCCGTAAGATGCGCCACGCTTGCACCAACGCTACGGCTTCGGGTTAGCCGAAGTTGGGCGGTAAGGCAGTGTGACTTCCGTGCCTTTCTGCGTGGGACACTGTTGTGCAGTTCACTCAGTCACGGGGCTTCCATGGCGGAGGCAGGGCGCAGGTTTCTGGAGCTGTGCCCGGCGGCAGTTCGTGACCGCGCCCGCGGCTGCTTGCCCCGGTCCGTGACCGCGCCTGGGGCTGCTTGCCCCCAGGTCGTGACCGCACCCGGGACCGTTCGCCATCCAGCCCGTGACCGCGCCCGGGGCTGCTCGCCCCCCCCCCCTGTTTGCAACCGCTCCCGGGACCGTTCGCAACTCAGGCCGTGCCCGCGCTCGCGGCCGCTCGCCGTCAATTAGCACCGCTGCCGGCCGTCAACGCACCGGTATGGATTACCGGGCAGCGGCTAACTCAAGACGACAAACAAGCCGGCCGGCCTCGAGCGACGCCTTGCGGGGGGGGGGGGGGGGGCCGACCCGGCCTGCCTGCAGCGATCGGACCGCCGCCGGCCCAGCGCTCCCGTCCGCTTCATTAGGACACGGTGAGCCATGGCTCTGGTTTCCGGCCAAGCGGTCTGAACGGCGCAGCTTCCTGCCCGGAACGGCGGCACTTCCGCGCGTGGAGCGCCTCCCAAAGCACCCGGCGCCCGGCGCGGTGACGCATTACGCATTCTGGGCACGCCGGTGTCGGTCGGCTGTTTTCACAACGTCGCCGCCGCAATGGCTGGCGGGGCGGAATTCGTTTAAATCAGCAGGCGCCTGTGCGAACTGAATCAATTTGGGAGGACAAAATGCTAGCAGATACCCCGAGGTCAAATAGTTTTTTTCTGTGTACAGCGCTGCGCTAGCAACAAGTGGGCAGTCATGATCACGCAATGCGGTCAGCCTCCACTTGACCGTTGACCCGTAGTATTGTACAGCTGTACGGACGCGGTGGCCGTCGTGTCGACTGCAGCAAGAGTCACATTCTGTGATCCTGAAAACTCGTTAGAAACGCAGCGGAAATTTTGCGTCGTTTTCTGTTGATTTAACATGCTGAAATCTCCTTCTCTTCTGTTTCGCTATTCAAAATTGGTAAGCTTTGTTTCAGAATTCAGACAGCTTCTAAAGAAATTACTGCATCATATGGTCTGAAAACATTTCGTATTATTCATGCGACTCGCGATTTTATTTTTGTGCATGCGTTATAAGCCAACAAGACTACAACATTTCGTACTATTCATGCGGCTCGCTATTTTGTTTTTGTGCATGCGTTATAAACCAACAAGACAACCAACAACCAACATCGGCGAAATTTAGGGGCAAAGGTTTTCGTAAATTTCGGACAAACTTGCTTTCATGAAATGAAAACAGCAAGAGTTATGAGCACTTGAACTGAAAAGCAAGGACTTTAACTTATGAAGTGTCAAGACATCCAATGCAATCAGCAAACGCTAAGATCTTAAAACAACGTATCTTACCAATCAGGTTACCAATTGCTATTTTGTGTGCTTAATCGTGTTAGCTCCAGCACTTACGCTTCAGGATCCCTTTTAGATTTAGATGCTCCCATTGTGGACAGTTACGATTTTGGCAAACGTTGTTGGACCAGGTTTTGCAACTTTAGCCCACACATTTGTTCGTGCTCATGTCGATGTATCCCGCATCCGACCTCAACAGCTGACTGTTCGCGCCCAGTGCACCCTCTGTATCGACATGAATGCTCTTAATCATGATCTGCCGTGTTCCAGCTGGTGTGCTGTGTTTTCTTCGGAGACGGTTGCGCTTAAGTGAGATTGTACTCTGACAGTGTTTGTCTCCATTCTTGATTTGCATGCCTCCGCGCAGTCTTTCCTTATCCGCGGCCCTAGCGCTCCAGCGGTGACCGTCGAAACTAAAGCTCTCAGGGCACGCCGCCTTGAAGCCTTGGCCGTTTTCGGTCACGAGTGCCTGCACTGCAAGAGCTCGATAGGGCTGTGCGCTCTGCCATTCGACGCGATACCTGTGGGACATCCGGAGACGCATTGCAGAGGACGGTTATCAAACCCTGTGAAGAAACATCGCCTAAGCGGTGGGTAGCGGAAAACCCAACCGAAAGGTGCCAGATGTAACCCCACACCAGCTGAGCGGTTTTTTTCGGCATGGGACCGCACGTGGCCGCTGAAGTGAGAGCACAGGGAGAGACGCCTGTTCTCTTATCGTCTACTAAGCGCTGGAGCCAGCGCGTTCAAACTTTTACCACCGACATCAACGGAATTGTCCATGACCATTTTTGATATGAACGCCTCGTTGGCGTGCATGATATCTGCACAATTATGATCCACGTCTGTTTTGAAGCGATCAGTGGCATGTTGCTCCACTAGGTCAATTCCCACCTATCGTTCTCTGAAGTGTCTGAGCCCTGAAAGTATCCCATCGCCTTCCCCATCTTCAAATCTGGAGACCCTACAGAATCCTTTTAACTTCCGCCCATCTCCATCGCCCCTGCCGTAGAAAAGGTTGTAGAACGTACCTTCAGTAGCTCTACGGCTATCTATCCAAAAATCACCTACTTTCCTCAAACCAGCGCGGTTTCAAACTACGTCATTCCACGGAAACCGCCCTCGCTTGTGTATCTGATCATATTCTAGGTGCCAACGACCGCGGAGACATGTCACTGCTCTGCTTGCTTGGTTTAAGAAAATTATTGGATGTAATAGGCCACTCGAAATTGCTAACAAAACTACGCCTGCACAATATCGATGCTTGCTGGTTTTCAGCTTACCTCAAAAACCACACTCAGAGTGTGAGAATATCTGACCGTTGGGGAATAGCAAACTCAAGTAAACTGCCTAACAGCATCGAAGTTTTTCGTGGATCGGCACCACGCCCCCTACTCTATTGCCTCTTTGCGAATGACCTTAGCCTCTTCGCAGCGGGCACTATCGTTGTGCAGTATGGGACAACACCCGAATTCTAGTGGGTCGCAAAAACGCCATTTTGAAAATGTTGTCTAGATGGAGCATGTCCTGGCCTCTCGATGTTTAGGTTTGCACAGAGGTCTTTAAGTAAGTGCTGACTACGTTAACGTCGTATCGCAGCCGTACAATCCGCGCAGCCCTCGAACTTCAATGTGAGAAGCCATTCCCCCATTCAGAGGTAAAAATGTAGCACTGATAATCCAGTGCTAAAAATATAAAAGTTAAATTCAAATTTAAAAAAATTAAATCAAATCAAGTTAATATTTAAGATAAAAAATCAATCTCTGAAATGGAATTCCCGCGCTTTTTCGTCACTGGCCGCTGCATAGGTCGTCTCTCTAGTCTGTCACATATGAGGAACTACTAGTGTCGTCTCCTCGTTGGTGAGCGCCTTGGTCCTCCGGCAGATCCGATACTGCTTTCGGTTTGTGGTAATCGCATTCTGAACAATATTTTTGGCATCCAAAAAGCTACCAGCCTTGCAGCAAAAGTAATACCTGAGCTTAAAGATTTACATCACGTTTCAGATCTGCTGGAGAGACCCGGCTGGCTCTCTGCGGACGGTCTCGTCAAACACCGCGCGTTGACGGTTCTTCACAAGGTGCTACGTTCCGGTGAGCCAGAGGCGCCGGCCCGTGATTTCTGGGAGGTGTCTCAAACCCGAGATCGACACACACGGCGGTATTAAAATTTGTTCATCCTTAGGTCACGCACCGAGATGGGAAGGAGGCGCTTGTGTTGTCGAGCTGCCACCTAGTATGGCTCCCTTCCCCGTGACCTGACGCGAGTTCCCAGCGCGAGGTTTGGCCGTGCACTGAAGCGCCACCTACTACTTACACGTCCACCCTGATCACGGAATGGTCCGAGCCGTGCATGTGTGCGCAGACGTGTGTATTCTGTGTATGTTCGTGAATTGTACGTGTGTGTGTGTGTGTGTGTGTGTGTGTGTGTGTGTGTGTGTGTGTGTGTGTGTGTGTGTGTGTGTGTGTGT